TTTCTCCTGAAACCTGTTTCTTCTGCTCAGTTCTCTGGCTAGGAAACTTCTCCCCACTCTTCACTAATTGCTATTTATCAGATCCTCTCTATCCTTTTAGATCTTCCAAATACAGAACCTCTCAGTGTCGCCTTCCTCTGCTCCTAACATAATTTGCATTGCTCTTGTTTTTTGTTTTTCTTAGTACACTTGTATTATTTCGTGGCACTGGTCCTGTGATATTTTACCCAGCATTCACTTTGTGTAATTACCTTATCTCCTTTTTTGGGCCAAAATGTTTCCAAGGTGAGGCCCACAGCTTATTTTTCTTTTCAGCTCCTTGGTGGCCTACCATAGTCCTGTATGGTAGACTCAATTAATGCGCAGAGCTATAGGATTTTATTATGTTCGGCCGCATGGTTCTCACACTGTGTGAGATGAGTGATAACTGAGAAATGGGCAGGCCTGTCCCAGATCTCACAGTGTGTGCTTGTGTGGTCAGAGCCCTGTGTGGCTGTTATCACTGCAGGGAGTCTTGGTGGTTCATTTCTGACACACAACCACACTTCAGCCTCTGTCCTTGTCCTCATGACTCCTGCAAACCTGTGGGTAGCTCTTATAATGTATACAACTGTTTATAATGTGTACAGCACATTATAATTTTTGCAGAAGTTTGGGTCCCCTCCTCTAATCGTGAGCCCCTTGCTGGAAGGCACTATATATCCATGTACTATGTATGTCCTATACATATACACACATACACACATATACACACAGACATACACACATATGCATACGTATACACATATGCATACATACACATACATACACATACACATACCCATATACAAATACTCTACCTTGGCCATTAGTGTCCTAATAATCAGCGTGTTGTCTGGTTCCTGGTGGGCTCCTAGAATGAGTGCTTTTTCTGGGTCTCTGCTGCTCCTGACCCTTCTTTTGTTATCATCTTTGTACCAAATGTGAACCTTAGGCTGCTAGGCTAACCTTTTTCTTTTGTAGGTTTTTATTTCTACAGACTCAGTCCCAAATTATTTTTTGTTCTATATCAACAGAACACATACAGTTTCAAAGGGAAATAAAGTTTCCACTCAATACCCTTGCACTTAAAATAACCTTGTTTCAGAAAATAGAACATCCTTTGGTTTATATTCATGAAGACAGGGACATTTGTAGACTTTAAAGGTCTTAACCTCTTGAACAATTATTTAGTGCTTGCTGTGTACAGAACATGTGTTAAATGTTGATGATAATTATTCTTCCTTGAAGGAATGTACTGGATTTTCCTCATTCACCACATAGATCTACCACTGGGGCTGGAATTGATCGGGGCTTCCTATGTGATTTGTCTTTGCATATACATTAAATCATTCATTGTCATCTCTGACTTCAACTAATAACCTGCATTCTCTGAAACACAGGTATTCTTTCTTATTGTTTTATTTAACACAGAATAGGTGTTCCACAAATGTTTATGAATAATAATTTCCCATGCAAAGATCTGAGCAAATGCAGAAGCCCTGAAGCAGAAAGGAGCTTGGTGTATTGAGGCAGGAATAGCAGGCAGTGATACTGGAACACAGGGAATTAGTGATTTGAGATAAAGTCAAAGTTAGTGGGGTCAGATGACATAGAACAAAATTTCTCAACTGCAGCATTCCTGACTGTAAGTTTAGTTGGTGGTTTAACTGTCTGTACATCATAGGACAGTACATGCGGGCTGCACCTCCCTACTTTGTAACACTGTAAAATGTCTGCAGACATTCCAGATGCCTCTTTGGGTAGCTGGGGCTGAAGAACACTGCTGTAGCAGCTTACATGGGGAGTAAACTCAGTAAAAACAGTGACTGTTTCACCCTATTCAGTTTTTATTCTAAGGGAAACAAGAAGCCACTGGAGGGTTTTGAGCAGGGAAGTACCTTGTAATGATTTAGATTTTAGAGAGATGACTCTTCAAGGAAAGTGGGTTCTCAGGGCCAAGAGTAAAGCAGGGAGTTTGGTGGCAAGAGCAGCCCTAGGGCTGAGGGCCTGGGCAGTGTGAGGAGGAAGGGAAACATGAAGGGAGAGAATGGGTTTAAACTGTCAAGGAGCAGGCATAAAGCAGTTTGAAGAGCAGCACAGCAACAGCTTCTCCAACATGTGTTTGGCTTCCGAATCTTCACAGCAGTAGTTTGTGGTACCAAGTGTTCTCCACCACAGCTTTTACCATTCTTCTCAACAAATATGTATACCAAGCTTAATGTGTGTAGGACACAGGACGATGTGGTAAGCTCTGTACACTGAGATTTGGCAAAATAAAGTCATTGCTTTTTCCTGTTTGGACTCAGTCTTCTTAAGATCTCCTTCCCTGTGCTGTTACTTTAAACTGCATCATCTGCCTGATTATGGCATATTCTCCTGTCTGACCTCTGTCTTCAAACTTGACCACTTCTACTACAAATCAACAGAACTGTCCTTCTAAACTGAAATCGGATCCTATCACCTACCTGCCAAAAACCCTTCACTGAATTCCCATTGTTTTTATGATTTAAAAAATTCCAAAGCCTTTAGAATTTTAAAAGTTCTTAACCTTGTTAGCCTAATTTCTTATCTCTACCAACTCTTTCATTTTCTCAGAATGGTCTACCACCCATTTTGCCTGTTCTGCTGCTTGCTCTTATCAGCTCCCAGTTCATTATGGCTCACTCAGGATTCACTTAAATACCACCTTTTTGGGGCTGAGTTTGGTACCCCTCCTGGGTGCTCCTTGGTATGAGCTCACCGCTACTGTAGACCTTTACGACTGATGTATTATGAAGGCCTGCTATTGATCTGGCCCTACCTCCACAGGAAAGCACTTGAGGGCAAGTGTGTTCGCTGTAATTTTACTTCTAGGGTCTAGAAGAGTACCTTTAAATGAATGAATTAAAATTGACCCATCAGATGTTTATCTAGAATGTTGACTCTGGTGGGCACTATGACAGGTGCCAGAGTTTTGGTGGTGAACAAAAAACATACATGGTCTCTGTTCTTATGGAGCTTCTGATACCTGAGGTAGAGAAATAAAACTCAAATAATCATGTAGAATGTGACATTGAAGATATAGCTGGTGCCATGAAGGAGAAGTTATGGTGTATTGAGAAGAGTTGACCTAGGATGGGAGGTGCAGAGAGCTTCCAGAGGTACAGGAACTTCTACTGAGATAGAAAACATCAGTGAGAATTAGCTAAGTGATGCTGGGTGGGAGGAAGTCAAGGAAATCACTGTGTGATTCCAGGAGGAGGAGGTAACCAGGCAGGTGTGTGTGTGTGTGTGTGTGTGTGTGTGTGTGTGTGTGTCTGCAATAACAGATGGGGAGTTGAAGCTGAAGAGGGAGGTCAAGGTAGATGGAAGAGGCCTTCAGTTCATGATATTTTTCCCTTCTTTTTAAGAACATCAAGAAGTCTCAGCATGGTGGACGGAAAGAAGCCTTTTTTTGGGGGGAGGTGCCAGGATTGAACCCAGGGCCTTCACATTGAGTTATATCCTTAACATTTAAATTTTTTTAAATTTTGAAACAGGGTCTCACTAGGTTGCCCATTGTGGTCTGGAACTTGTGATCCTCCTGCCTCAGCCTCCTAGAGTGCTGAGATTCAGTGGAAATAATACTTTTTGAAGGAGAACAGAGTAATCAAGTGTCCATAATTATTTTATCCTAGAATTTTTATTTATTCTGATGGTTATGCACATTTGCCTTCATATTCTGTGATCTGATCCTTTTCCACCCTCATTGGTGATTTGTGGTTCCTTTGTGCTTGTCTTCAGTTAGCTAACTCAGATTTATGTCCTTTGAGATTAAGCTGGCCCAAGGTAGTATGCCTGATGCTCTCTAGGACAGCTTTTCCTTTGGTCCATTGATCTGGCCAGCATGCACATTGTACATTCTCTAGAAACAAGATGGGAGTATGCATATTCATTGTTATGTTGATAGCTCTAACAGGACTTGAAGGCTTTGTCCTAAATAGGGCTTGAAGCTATGTGATGTTTCCAGCTGTCGTCCTCCCTCCTCCCTTAAGTGTTGCACTTGTATACCAGTTAACAAAGTCTTCATTTTTATATGGCTAGTTAAGAGTTTATAGTCATCCTCTGGGAACATGTGTACGTGGTACTTGTTATTCTTTTTTTTAAACAAAATTTTATTGAGAATCAATTGTGCAGCATGTACTCTAATGACTTAGGGGGATTCAGAATAAAAGAGATAAAAAGACAGTCCAGGTGCTCGTGTAGTACATACATATGATTCAGACATCAGTGAGAGTGCTGTGACTGTGACAGAGAGGCATGACGTGGAAAGTAGCGGACGCAAAGGAGATCTAACTTGTTGATTCAGCTAACCTGGGCTGGGGCAGATGAATCATCAGAGAAGTCGATGCTAGCTTAGCTCTTGAGGGTAGATAAGGCTGGGCCAAGGAGAAATGTGAAGAGAAGACTGCTGCAGGTGGAGAGGCCCTTGGACAGGCACCCTTGAGCACTAGTGAGTGAACCCCATCTGAGGCACTGCATGTGGAGGAAAGTGGTGCTGGTGGTGGAAGACTCAGGAAGGGAGAGGGGAGGTTGAGGCTGTGTATGCTGATGCCCCAGAACAGTCATCAGACAGGCACACAGGCAGGAGGAATCAGGTCCCAGACTTGACTTGAAGTGCAGCCAGAATCCACCACTCCCTGCCCACTGTGCAGCTGCTGCCCTGGCCCTCACAGATACCTGCAGCAGCGATAATGGCAGGAGCTTCCTGACTAGCGTTGCTGACCTCTACTTACTCAGTCTGTACCCAGTACTGCAGTCAGAAAGTACAGGACACAGCAAGTCCTCTCACCCTTCCGTTTCACTCTCCCATTATGCTCAGTGTACAAGCCTGAGGTCTTCCCTTCTTAGTATTTATTACTTCTTATGATACTTGCATATTCAAGAAGATTGCTTGTTTGTGTGATTTATTGTTATTTCCCTCTATAAACAAATTTCACAAGGGTGGGAATTTTTGTCTCTTTTATTTGCAGATATGTTACCAGCAGCTAGAACCATGCCTGGTACTAAGTTGAGAGTCAATATTTGTGGAAAGAATGAATGCCTGAGATCCCCGATATAGCGTGATATTCACCACCTTAATCATTATTGAATGTGTTTATTTCAGATCATCCCACATTGGCTTTCCTTTCCTCCACCTTACTCTATTCCTTACTTCCTGATTTTGTTTCTTACATTGTATATTAACCTCTTTATCCCATGAGCAGATTTTTATTCTCAGCCAATCCTGGACCAAATGAGCACAAGCCTTTCTTCCTTGTCCAGTGCCCCTTACCTGCTATGTGCTCTCTGAAAAATGATTACACCCAGGTGTGCAAACAGGGGTAGAATCTCTTGGCATTTCAGTAAGGGGAGAGCAGTGTTCTCACAAAGTGTCACAGGATCTGAATGATAACAGACACGGGTTCCTGGTGTAAATCACAGCTTCCCGTGGAGAGCGGCCTCTCCATTCCTTGGAAGGGTCACACTCTGACCTCAGGGTGTGCTTGCATGCAGTGAGCGTGGACTGCTCTGTTCCCTTAAGCTCCAGAGGGGAATCAAGCATTTGACTTCTTCACAAACAGAGCAGAGAAATACAGCCATAGAATAACACCATGGAGACATTTAACGATATTTATCTAGTGAGTAGAAGAACTAGACCTTGTGTTATATTGTCTGCTCTTGTGGTCAGTAAATGTTATGTGGCTGTTGGACAGTGACTGAAGTCAACCTCTCTAAGGGGCTATTAATTACCTTAATGATTATGAGTAAGTGGCTTTTAGCAATTATTGTCCTAGTCTGTGAAAGGTAAGAATGGTCTTCATACCATATCAGGGTTATTTGGGGATCTTTAGTCTACATGTATGTACTCAGCACCAACTTCATGTACTCATTCATCCTAAACGCTCCCCAGTGGAGAATGCAGAGTAGAGTGCCCGCCCCTCACCCTTGTCATCACACCCTGCAGTACTGCTGCTGCTGCCTTTATTTAGTGAGCTGCTGCTGTGTAACAACTACTACTGGCACCATTCTTGTTACTACAAGATACTTTGCCTGTGTTACTTCAATGAACAGTCCAATAAATTTTCAAAATAGGCACATATCTCTACATTTTTGCTTACAGAATTGGATGCAGAGAAGTTAATTAACAGTAAATACATACTAAGTGAAGCAGTGCTTAAATCTAACAGTTATTCACAGCCATGATAGTGGAGGAGGTGTGTGTTATTATAACTGTAAGAGGTGGCTGTGTGTTTAATTGCTGGGGGAACAGAATGAGGAAAATGAAGTTCCTTTCCCCTAGGACCCTCTAATACTTTTACCAAGAAATGAGTTATTTTCTTTTGGTAATCTTAAATCCCATCAAGGCATAAAACTGGCTAGCAGATCTGAGTGTTTTCTCCAGAAGGTTACATTAGCTCTCTCCACAGAAAGGAGCTGGATATCACTTGGATCTCTTCTGGGTGGCCGTCATCATGGTGGTGTGCTCCTTCATGGGCCTCCCTTGGTATGTGGCTGCTACTGTGATCTCCATTGCACATATCGACAGTTTGAAGATGGAGACAGAGACTTCTGCACCTGGAGAGCAGCCGAAGTTTCTGGGAGTGAGGTGGGTGAACTAAAGGAAAATGTTTCTTCAGAACACATTGTGCACATCTGTATTTCCCAAGGAAATGGGAAGATTTAGAGGAGATAGAGCTGGTGATAATTATGCCTACATTTTCTTTTCTAGAAAGCGCTTTTAATCAGAAAGTTTTCATTAATTTTTTCATTTTATTGCTTATTATATATAAATTTCCTTTGATTAACAGAGGGCTAAATTATCTAACACAAAACCACAGTTTCTTCAGCGTGTAGGTGATTTGGTGCTGCAGTTCTTACTGTATCTCAATCAATCATATACAAAGATCCTAAAATTCTTGAATCTGCTTATGAGTTTTAAGATTCTATGAAGGAAAAGGAATTCTTATTTTTCAGTTTATTTTATGTCCCCATAAGCATTTTGAAACTTTGACCTCCAGGTGTTGAATTTGAGTAGTGTGATGGGCAGTGGCAGAAGACCTTCACGCTCTGTCAAGTGCTTCTGACAGCACACTCTGCCTGTAAGCACCAGGTCACGTGACAAAGCCAACATTTCCCATGCCTCAACAGTGGGTGATTAGTTTTTAGGGGGTGGGAAAGAGGGTATTGGATGGGAATCATATTTGTTAAAAAGTACTTTTGTTGTAGATTTGGAAATTAGACTTGTGTGATTTATTGCACTCATGAAATTTCCCTGAGCTGTTTGTTAATTAGATTGTGGGACAATGTAATGTCTGTCTTCTATGAAAGAAGGTGTAATTATACAACAGGACAAGTTTAAAAAATAAGAGATTCAAGGAGGCCACTAATTAATTGGTGGACCAAGTGATTTTTCTTTCGTGATTCTAAAAGGAGCAAAAGCTCTAGCAAAATCACCTCTTTCTTTACAAATTTGAACCACATATTGTAATAGTTTTAAGAAAATTTTTATGTTATGTAGAATTCATTTGATGTCTTTGAGATACTAGTTGCATGATTTCAAAGTCTTCACTGTTTTAGCTGAACTTTGGTTTGGTCAATGTATAGTCTTTGTTTGGTGAGGAAAAGACTAGAGCATGTTTAGGTAAACAAGAAGTGGAGAAGCATCCACAGCGGCACCATGGCTCAACCAAAGAACCTTGAAGGCTATGTGGGATTTGCCATCTCCCACATCAAGTGTACAGAAAATCAGTGAAGAGAGGGTTTGAACTCACACTTATGGTAGTAGGTGAATCTGGATTGGGAAAGTCAACATTAATCAACTCATTATTCCTCACTGATTTGTATTCTCTACAATATCCAGGTCCTTCCCATAGAATAGAAAAGACTGTACAGGTGGAACAATCCAAAGTTTTAGTCAAAGAAGGTGGTGTTCAGTTGCTGCTCACAATAGTTGATACCTCAGGATTTGGAGATGCAGTGGATAATAGTAATTGCTGGCAGCCTATGGTTGACTACATTCATAGTAAGTTTGAGGATTACCTAAAAGCAGAATCGTGAGTGAACAGACATCAGATGCCTGATAATCGGGTGCAGTGTTGTTTATACTTCATTGCTCCTTCAGGACATGGACTTAAACCGTTGGATATTGAGTTTATGACGCATTTGCATGAGAAAGTGAATATCATCCCACTGATTGCCAAAGCTGACATGCTCACACCGGAGGAATGCCAGCAGTTTAAAAAACAGTTAATGAAAGAAATCTAAGAACATAAAATTAAAATATATGAATTTCCAGAAACAGATGATGAAGAAGAAAATAAGCTGGTTAAAAAGATAAAAGACCGCTTACCTCTTCCTGTGGTGGGTAGCAACACTATCATTGAAGTTAATGGCAAAAGGGTCAGAGGAAGGCAGTACCCTTGGGGTGTGGCTGAAGTTGAAAATGGTGAACATTGTGATTTTACAATTCTAAGAAATATGTTGATAAGGACGCACATGCAGGACTTGAAAGATGTCACCAATAATGCTCACTATGAGAACTACAGAAGCAGAAAACTGGCAGCTGTGACTTACAATGGAGTGGACAACAACAAGAACAAAGGGCAGCTTACTAAGAGCCCTCTGGCACAAATGGAAGAAGAAAGAAGGGAGCACGTAGCCAAGATGAAGAAGATGGAGATGAAGATGGAGCAAGTGTTTGAGATGAAGGTCAAAGAAAAAGTTCAAAAACTGAAGGACTCTGAAGCTGAGCTCCAGTGGCACCATGAGCAAATGAAAAAGAATTTGGAAGAACAGCACAAAGAATTAGAGGAAAAATGTCATCAATTTGAGGAAAAGAAAGCAAACTGGGAAGCTCAGCAACGTATTTTAGAACAACAGAACTCTTCAAGAACCTTGGAAAAGAACAAGAAGAAAGGGAAGATCTTTTAAACTGTCTGTTGACCACCAGACAGTTACGTATTAGTTGCCAATATGCCAGCTTGGACATCAGTGTTTGTTGGATCCGTTTGACCAATTTGCACCAGTTTTTAAATCCATAATGATGGATTTAACAGCGTGACAAAAATTATTTTTTTGTTGTTCTTAATGGAATTATGATGCCTTGAATTATCTAAGGTGTTGTGTACTTAGAAAATAACAGCTCTAAGTACCTTTTTACATTTTCTTTTCTTTTTTTATTATTAAACAGATGTCTTCAATTTAATGCAAGAGAACATTTTACTGTTGTACAGTCGTGTTCTGGTGGTTTGTTTACAGGATATTCCAAAATAAAAGGATTCTGGAAGGTTTTCATTGAGGATAAACTGCCATAATACACAAACTATGCTTCTCTATGATAATTATAATACAGAGGTTCCATTCAGTGCAGCCTATACAATAATGTAATTTAGTCTAACACAGTTGACCCTATTTTTTGACACTTCCATTGTTTAAAAATACACATGGAAAAAAACCCCTATATGCTTACAGTGCACCTAGAGCTTTTTTATAACAGCCTTTTTTTGTTTGTTTGTTTTGGATTCTTTAAGTATATATTATTCTCATTTAGTGCCCTCTTTAGTCAGAATCTCATTACTGCTTCATTTTTGTAATAACATTTAATTTAGATATTTCCCATATATTGGCCCTGCTAAAATAGAATATAGAATCTTTCATATGGTAGAAACCAACAAGGAAACTTTCCTTTAACTCCCTTTTTACACTCTATGTCTCTTGATTTTACTAGAAATGGACATCATGGCCTCCTGAGGAGAAAAAGTCACCATTCTGCATTTAGCTGTATCCATATATTGCATTTCTGTATTTTTTGTTTGTATTGTACAAAATTCACATAATAAACAATGTTGTGATTAAAAAAAAAAAAAAGAAGTGGATTGGTAATCTCTTGATTTGATTTCAGGGAACAAAGAGTCACTGGAACCCTTGTGTTTATTCTGACTGGCCTGTCAGTCTTTATGGCTCCCATCCTGAAGGTAAATATGTGAAACGGCACCTCTTACTTCTCAGAACACTGACAGGTATTTGGCCCAGTGAAGAGTGAAATGTTTGCAAGATCCTCATTGGTTCCGTAGCACACTGAGGCAAGGGTCAGATAGCAAGAGGACTTTGAAAAACACTTCTCTTGATTTCTCTTTTAGCCCATCACTCCTTGGCTTACTACTTTTGCAGTTACTTGGTTAAACCAGAGTAATTACCAATATTTAAACTTCCTGACCTGTGAGAATGGCAGTTTTGTACATTTCAAGCTGACTGATCCCCCGCCCCCCTTTTTTCCTCTCGGGTCTTCCTGTCCATCCTTTCTTTCATTATCCTCCATATACTCTTACCTCAGTCCTCCTCTGTTCCTCCATTAGACTCCCAGAAAGTGTGAGTGATTCAGGATGAATTTTTTTCTTCTAGTCTTAGTTTTGCTGTGTTCTTATTTTCATTGAATCACAAGGACCAATAACCTTTAAAAGGAAATGAGTACAAAATTACTAATTTATAATTAGAAAACTTTAGAAATGAACATTTGGAGAAGAAAAATTAGCTGGTAGATTAGAAAGTGAGGAACCAACACATATTAATGGGTAGATATTTGCCTAGGTAGATAAATATAAAGTATATAGGAAGGCTTCAGGGCAGAAATGGATCTGGAGAAGGTTAATATATTCCTGCTCATAAGGTTTTTGACTTTCATTTATAACTCAAGATTTTTGATTTTTGTTATAGAACCAATGCCACAATTATTAACAATTTGTATCTTATGCTTTGTACCACAAAATCACTCATACCCCTATATACCGCTACCATTAACAATCTTTCCAATTATTTTCTTGAAAATTTTTATTTTTGAATACTTTCAATTTTCAAAGTTGTTTAAGTGCTCAGTTACACAAGTGGTGAAGTAGTATATGCTTCTAAAGCATTCAAACAATACACAACTATAGATAGTGAAAACCAAAGGCCTCCATTTTTCTCATATTAGCCAATCTTATGTCAGTGGCCAAACAGATGAATTTTAGGAATCTGGGACTATAATTCCTTAACCCAGTGACTTTTAGAGATGAGGACCCAAACTGCAACCCAAAACCCAATTATTTACCACAAAGTGCCAATATTTCAATTAAATATGAATACTGAGGTTTTAGTTTAGAAAAAGCAATTCATACATTAACATCTTTTGTCTTAAAAGAAAAACAAATGACATGCATGCCATAGGTTCACTACTGCTGCCTTAACTTATAGGGCTAACTTTGTCCTTAGAGCATTTAGACTCAGTTTAATTAGGTACTCAATCCCTGGAAAACAATTAAAATATTTAATTTTTCATGTTTCATCCTTGGTTTCTACAGTGTCAACTGTCCAGTTAAATTAATCTCTGATTAAATTCATAAAGGACTTTGTATCTCAGGTAACACAGAGAGAATTAAAATGAACAGTAGCCTTGGAGAAATTGTTTCTGGTTCTGTACAAGAGGACCTTAAAAGAATACTGAACTTTGGTTTTGTTGGGACAGAAGGAAATCTACTGTCACCTTCGCTGGTGCAACAGAAGTTATGGGGTGGTTTGAAGGTGGCAGGTCTTATCCACTGTCAAGTGCTATTTGCTCTCTGTCCCCTGTGGGTGCCAGCACATGAGCTGATGGAATTGACCAGTGACAGGCATTGTGATCTCACAGGTGATGTGATGACATCCAGAGAGGTCATTTTAGACAGTTATGACCCTGTACTGTGGGTGGTCCTACTAGGAATGAATTTTCCTCCTCTGGCTCACACCCACCTTGCTTGTATGGGCTCTCTTGGTGCTCACTCACTAGAGAAGGATCAGCAGAAAGGAATCTTTTCATTAGTCCAGATTTACTTCTCACTACCCAGTGCTTCACTCTGACTTTTCCTTTTATATGATTTATTTTTATTAATACAGTATAAATCCTAATTCAGAGAATCTAGATGTATTTAAATGTTCTCTTTTTTTGTATGTCTGTTACAGCAAACTGGCTTCAGTCCTGGAGAAACTGTCAGTTGAGTAATCATTATGATTTCAAAGGGACACAGAGAATAGATATAGTATATTTGCCATTTTTAGGAAGATTCGAAGAAACTTACATTTTCACCAATGTCTCTTCCTGTTTTCTCACACTACACCTGGGCTTGACTGCAGAAGAGTTAACGTGGAAAACCATGTACCTTCTTGCCATGACTCTTTTTTCCCCTCACATGCAGAGGATGTTAATATCTGCAGGAAGAGGTCAGAGTGCAGAGAAGGGAGACAGTGGGGGGATCAGTGAACATGAGCTTGATGCTCCTCTGACGTCTTTGGTATCCAAGCCATGGCTCACCCGCAGCTGCCAGTGTCCATGCCTGAGACTACTTCCACCTAGCAACTTTGGATTAACCCAAATGGTCCTTGTAAAAATCAGTGCAATAAGTAGTTCAGTCAATGTTTTTTTAAGCAGAGCTTTGCCCAATATATGGGAAATGGAGTGGTTTTTATCAATATAGCTTAAAATGTATTATGGAATACTATATTTAGAAACAGCAAAGGAATTTCTTACTTCCATGAGGCTATTCCTAACCTCTGGAAACAAGGGTTAGTTTTTGCCCAATTTTAGATCACATGCCCTTCGTCCCACGAAACTTGGTGAGTTATGTGTGTTTGTCAGACATAGTTTGAAAAGTCACTTGTTAGCTCCTTTGAAAAGTCAATACAGGAAGAAGCTGACATTGAGGGTACAGTTTAACTAAAACCTAAGTTTGCAACTAAGGCCAAGTCACCCTTAATAATTAACCTCAGAATTCACACAAAGTGTTGCTGGGGATTACTTTGAAGGAGGGGACACCTTTTTCTCCTCCAGTGACCACATGTTTCTTAAAGGAGCAAGTGACAACTTCAGAGAATGGTTTTAAAAGCCTGCCTTTGAAAGGCAGATCAAATGAAGGGAATGGGAGAAATGTGCACCTTTCTAAAATGAAGTGGCTCTCTCTTCCCTGCCAACTCCTTATTTCCCTTATAAGTCTAATAGTCTGCAATGAGCTTAGAAATTTTCTCTCCTGCATCAAGCAGTATAGGTACTTGTTCCCTGTGCCTACTTATGCAAGTTTACTTTGAACATGAAGTTTATGACCCCATTTTGATCTCTGTGCTGAAATCTGTCTTTTATGTGAAAGGATGTAAAGAAATATAATGTAACAGCTTTAGTTTGCAAGGGTAGCCCTTGGCACTAGCCAGCTACAGTTATACTTGCCTCAAAGTGCTGAATTTCACCACTGATTCAGGTCAGAACTGCTGGAAAGCAAGAACAACTGGATTCCCAGGCTAGAAAAATGGTTTCCGTGGTGTTTCTGCAGTGGAAGCCCTGCCTATTATCACCATTATCTGTGTGGGGAAGTCAGGAGAGACAAAAGAACAGGAAAAAGATGAAAGGCTGTTTCTTGAGCTTACTTTCCTGTTTTTTGGGCAAGCCTCAAGAAACAAAGATCAAATAAAGCTTACTGCTACTTCTGTTCCCTTTGCTTGAATTAGTTTATCTTTAACATGAGGTGTGGCCAAAATTTATCTTTAACATTTGTTTAGTGTTCTAAAGTGTGGAAGATAGCATTTAATTTGTACTTGGCAGATATTCATTGAGCTCCTACAACATGTCACGCTCTGCTCATACCAAGGAAGCAAAGAGAAAGGTTCTGATGATGATAGTGGTGGCCATTTTTTGAATTTGGCATTGAATTAAGGATTCAGCACCAACTTATACAATTTAGTTTCCCCTGTAACATCTGCAAAACAGACAGTAATAATGACCTGCATTTACAGATAGAACAAAGTTATGAATAACTTGCGAAGTCACCAAGTGTGTAAGTGGTAGATCCAAGATTGGAGCTCAGGCCTCTCTAACACTAAAGCTAATGCCACAACCCTCGTGGTTTGTCACCTTTGAAAGGTTCCTAATTCTCTTTTATATGGAGGAAAATGTGGAATTTCCCCAAACTTCTCATCAGACAGTGAATTTTGAGTTTTGTTAACATTCACAGACGAGGTTGCAAGTTATCAGTTTATCAGCTTAGGTTTTTAAGACTGAAGGAAATTAGGATATTGTTTCAGTAATGTACTTCTGAAGGCAGTCGTTATAATTTCAATATAGGCAATACAATAGAGCCTAAGCAAAAGGGCTTTCAGTCCAACTTTCTGCAGTACTCTGACCAATACTCCTGTCAGCACTGAGGTCTGAGTGGGGGGCTGGCAGTTTCGAGCTCCTCCACTGTCAGTCAAGGTCCACAGGACAGTGACAGCATCAACACCGCATCTGTCATTTAGTGAGTGTCTGTTATGAGCCATGCCCTAGATTGGATGTTTTCCTGCTACATAGTCTTTTATCAGAGCCACTTTCTAGATAAGCTGAATAAGGAGAGAAGTTAGAAGTTTTCTAAAGGTTATGTAGCTGGTAGCTAGAATTTGAATCTAGACCTGTCTGACTTCTGTTCCCAATCTGTTAATCAGGATCTCACTTTGTGTTTTACACACACACACACACACACACATACGCACACACACAGTCACCACTGCTGGGTATCTCACTGCTGTACTGAACTTTGTGTTGAACAAGCACAATCTCTCCTTGTTATTAAACTTATCCTTTTCAAATTTTTTCTTCTGGAAATGTTCTAACACTATCAATAAATCAAAGGGAGATGTAAGTGAAGATGTATAGAAGTGCATTCACTAGAATTTGAAAATCTGGTGGCATGATCTACATATGTTAAGTGTTAATTTCATACTGATTTCATAGGATCACTCACTGGTCACTGATCATAGGATCACTCACTTATCTTTGAGTACATATTGAATGTACTGCTACTTTGTAATTAACTTTTTGGCTTTCTGGGTATGATTGATTATTTCTACAATTTTCTTTGCATAATTTTATCATTTGGCTATTCTTGATGTGCCTATAGCCCTGAATACTATGTGATTTTATGTTTTAATTTCTTCTGCCTTGCTTTGTAAAAACATTTACCTACTATTATTATGTATGTTATCCTGGTATAACTTTAGATGGGGTTCCATCTTTTAAAAAATATTCTTTTCTGTCATTTGAGACATGTATGTTTTGAAGAATAATTCCAAAGAGACTAATTTTTAAGATTTGACCATTTGATATGACTCATGAACTTCTGACCTAATGATTCTGTAAATTTCACCAAGCGTTCCATGCTGGAACATTCTTATTGAGATCTTATGTTATTGTAAGAAAATGGCAAGTCTGGTAAGATATTTCTATCACATTGAAATTGACCAAAAATCTTCTTAATAACCTTCTTTCTCAACAAAGAATATGTTTTAAAAAAAACATTTCCGTACTCACAGCTATATTCCTGCTCATACCCATGTCGATCTGTGTTAGTGATCCCTTCGGGTTCATTTTGAGCTTGACTGGGTAACATCTGTAATCAAATTCAGAGAGAATGGCCCTCAGCCCCAGGGCCCAGCTTCCCTTCACTTTAACTTTAGGCCCACATTAGAGAAAAAGTTTAGCTAAACTTGAGAAGAAGAGAGGAAGCCAGAGATGGACCCTATGGGACACTTTTATTTAAGCTGAAAAATGCTCTTAAAAGAAACTGCTACAGGAATTCTAACTTCTTTATGAATAAACTATTCTCTTTTCTGCTTCCAGTTTTCTTCCTTTCAAAATTGAAAGTGGAAAAAGAAAGAAATCATCGTATACTAAGGACAAAGCTTAAAAAATGAATTAAATCAATAAAGTGGTCCTTCAGCTAGGTGTTTTTTTTTTTTTTTTTTTTTTTTAAATGAACACAGAAGCATTTGAAGGAATAGAAACATGTTCTAAAGAAACAGAGGCTCTGCCCGAGCTCTGCTGCTGGCCTGTCCCTAGCTCCTCTCCACAGCCAAATCCTTTCCTTTTCTTTCCTGAGCTCAAGGTCAAAATTAGCTACATTGAAATTGTTAACATTTTCTAGAAAAAGCATTTGATATTTTATAAAAGAAACTATATTTACTCTATTTCTATGGCCAGCCAATAACATTTCGACAAATCCTGGTACACTTCTGATTCTCTGATTCTCTAACAGTGGCCCAAGGGTCTCCCAGACAAAACTGCTTTTGGAAATCTCAAAAAGAGGGTGGTAGAAATTGTGCTTTGCTTAATATAGGCTATTTAAACAATTATTCTGGTGACATACTATATTTTCTGGTTATGGCTACCTCCTTTGTGTGGATTTGGAAAGTCTGGCCTTAAATGACTTGCAGTTTCAGTATTTTACTTTTGAAAAATCCTGAAATCACTTTAATTTCTTTTCAAAATCCCTGGTTGAGAACCTTTTCTTGTCCAGACCAAAGACTCCTCAGAATCAGAATAATGCTTGGGTTGCTTACATTTCACAGGTCTAGGGATTACATGGAATTTATGGACTGATCACATTAGAACTTCTCATTGTAGAAATACTTCATATTGATGTAAAGATATTTTTGCTAAATGATGCATAAAATGTATTAATTCTGTTTTAGAAGCAGTGTATTCATTCATGTGTGCAATTAATTGCTTCCAGATGCTCTATGCCCCTCTCAATCAGGGTTCTCATTAGTTTGTCCTCCTAGTAGTATGGAGAAGGAAGGTGACAGTCATGTGATGTTTATTTCATTGAAAGAGATGTTTACACAGGAGATGTCATTCAGGAAAAGTCAGCGGACTGCTTTGAAAAGATGCTGGATGCAACTTGTCTCTGCCTCACATCCCCTGCAAGCATCTGACTTATATGGTCTCTTTCTTTAAGGAAAACAAATTTTTTATTAATTAAAAACAACAACTAAGGTTATGTATGGTCATTGTAAAATAAAAAGCATCCAATGAAAATTGAAAATTCCCTTCACTCTCTTCCCTTTATTTCTAGTACAGAGTTTAGAAGTTTATTAATTGATGAATAAAACACAATAGTTAAAGGTACCATGTGGTTGATAAAGCCTGTCTTTTAGTTTCAGATTTAGTGTTTCTTTTAAGCAATTCCTTTCCCTTAATGTTTTTATTACTGCCATTTTAAGGCTTTACCCATTTCTTTCCTTCCTAGTTTATTCCTATGCCTGTACTATATGGTGTGTTCCTGTACATGGGGGTAGCTTCGCTTAATGGGGTACAGGTAAGTTTTCATAGTAATCTAAGAAAGTTGTGCTTTTTTTAGTAGTAAGAATAATTTAGTAATAGATCTTTGAAGAAAAGTAGTATTCATCAATGCTGGGTTTGAAAAATACATTTATTTTCTGCTTTCTCCACCTTTCACCGGCTTTTCATTTCTGATTTAATCAACAAAGTGAGTTGGCATTAGCCAACGTTATCGTCAGTGTCTATTACTGAAACAGGCTGTTCACAGTAGGTTGAGCAGGAAAGCTAGAGCACTGTAGTTTTGCCTTTCCTTCTCCCTCTGTCCCTCCCTCCCCCCTTTCCCCTCTTTCCTTTTCCCTCTCTTCCTCATCACATCTTTTCTTCTGGTCTCAAGAGGGACACTTGACTCTTTCAGTGTGCTCTTTGAGATAGCATTTATCTACTAGCTATAACTTGATAGGAGAGCAGCTCTTTTGATCTGGATTTCTCATGGCTGAACTTAGTGATCACATTTTACATCAATGAACAATTAATGTCAGAGTGGTTTTTATACTGCTTTTGTGGGAAACTTCAGTTATTCACAACTTTGATAAAACTGACCCCCTTTGAAAAAATTAATTAGGGAAAACTTTATGAGGACTTTGTCTTTCAGTTGAGGTTTAATTTAATTGGCACCAGGAAACTGGAAGTTCTTCTGTTGCTTTCTGGCACCGTGTTAACTGTAACCTCATTTAGCACTCAGTAGTGTTTTAATAGGAAAAGACTTCGTGTACTGTGAACATCAGAAGGATCTATTTGAATGCCTTCAAAATAGTCCTTGTTTTCATTTATTGAATTTAGGTTAACTTAGTTTTAAAGTCATATAGAGCTGGGCAAGTGGCCAGACCCCCCAAAGAGGAAAACCTACTTTACTTTTCTCTGCATAGGTCCAGTAAGTAGAGCTCTTCACCACTGGAATACTTGTTACAAAATATAAAGTGGCTTTTCATGGACTGCACTAGATTAATGTACTGTGAGTTTATTTGTGGTCATGAGACTTTTAGGAAGTATACATTTATAAAAATATCTTTCTTTTATCCCCATTGTAAATATTCATTCCTTTAAATGAAAAAATATAAACCTCAATATGGTCTCCAAATTAGTAGCTCTTATTTTTATTTGCCCTTTATGGTCCAGTCTAGCTCAGAATTTTGATTCTTGCATATATGGGAGGTTTATCAGTGGTTGGAAATCAGTACATGTCTACATATACTGTAGAAAGAAGAACCAACACACCCTAATCATAGAGGAAAAGAATTGTGCTGAATTCAGGAGCAACTAGCACATTTCTTAAATTCATCATTGCTATTGCTCCAATGCCTTTCGCCCTTTCCTTACTTTATTCTTGATTCTTTCTTTAGACTCTTTTGGCAAGATTGATTTAGCAAGAAATATGGTAACTCAATCTTTATAACTGAGAATGGTCTACTAGACAAAAATTGCTCTACAGGGGGAGCGAAACCCTGTAAATAGGAAATCTCTCCAGAGACCTGTTAGAGCCTAGTTTACTTTTACACTTTTCCTTTCCTTCCAGAAAGAAAACAGAGATATGTTTATGGGTTCTTGTAATGTAATTGTTCAATCAACAACTATTTCCAGAGCATCTTCTACTGAAATATGTTGGGTTTTTCTGTATCATCCTGTTAACCATGTCAGCTCAGCAGTTGTTCTTTGAAGTGCAGCATCTGGCCAACAGATTCTCGGTGGTCATTTCAGTACACGTGTGTACCTGACTGTGTGCTGGCTGCTCTCACACTCAATATCAAGCTGTATATGTGGTGAAACTCACTGTAATGTTCATGTGGCTTTTCTCAGAAAAGTAAATGATGAAACATGGCTGGGTAAATTAATTAAGTTATACCATAGATGAATAATGTGGAATCTATGGAAATATCAGTGCATTCCCATTTTATGGTGAATGCTTCCTTTATGTCCTTAGCACATCCTGGAAATGTATATGATGTATAATATCATCTCCTCTTCTTTTAAAGAAGACAACTGAGGCAGAGTAAGATCTATTACTCTTTCAGTATAACATTGCTCATATAGGCACAAAACCCTCTCTCCTGAGACTCAGATATTAAAAATAGAAACCTGTAGCTGAGCATCTAGAAATTATGTTTTGATTGATGACTTTATTCTTTGGTGGCCACATTATTTCAAATATCTGCAAACATTTCTGCAAAATTATAACACAAATGAGAAGACTTGTACTATGGCCTGACCTTGCTAGACTCAAGTTCTGCGCTCCTTACCCAGTCTTTGTCCTTTGCAAAGGACACTGCTTTCCTAAATTACAGAATATAAATCACACTGGTTGGTTGGGCAAGGGGAATGACTGTGATCAGCTCATGAAGTAACACACTCTTGCTCCTCCCTTCCCAGTTCATGGATCGTCTGAAGCTGCTTCTGATGCCCCTGAAGCATCAGCCTGACTTCATCTACCTGCGCCACGTGCCCCTGCGCAGAGTACACTTGTTCACTTTCCTGCAGGTGTTGTGTCTGGCCCTGCTTTGGATCCTTAAGTCAACAGTGGCTGCAATCATCTTTCCTGTCATGGTAGATATTCCTCTAACTGGACCCAGCCAGGAGGCTATGCTTTAAGCTTGTGGTTATTGTGCACAGCAGACATAAATCTTTTGTGTGTGAAATAATTTCCAGCTTGGACCTCATCACTTTGAGCAGCTCTTTGTAACTCTTTGTTTGTGGAAGTGGGGATTGAATCCAGGGCCTTCATGGTAGCTTCATCTCCAGTCCTTTAAAAAATTTTTTGATCCTCCTGTATAAGCCTCCCAGAGTGCTGGGATTACAGGTGTGCATGACCAATTTTGGATTTGAGCAGTGGCAATTTAAGTTTCTCATATCAACAGCTGTCTAGGATGAGCCTTAGAATCATTTTCACCAGTGTGCAGATACCAGCTCAGGTTCAGGCTGGTGCCTGGACCTCCTTTGTCAGCTCATCAGTAGGACAGGGAGGGGTTGATACAGTTCTGCACATCAACCAAGAGCAACAAGTGTACAGCACAATGCCTGACACAGAGAAGATGCCAGTGCAGAATACAGATTTCTAAATACTGTACCATAGAAGCAATTTAAAGAAGCATAAAGAATATTTGGGTCCAAATAACAGAAGTGATTGGAGATTTGTGAGAACTCAACAAATGCATTAGAAGAAATGGAATGGGTTCATTTACTGGAGCTCCTGTAGTTTATATCATGTCAAGCTCCAGGATAAGGCAGAACTCTCCATCCTAGCCATGATACCATGAGAAGCCAAGCAAAGGAACTAATACCCCTGTGAATCAGAGGAGAAGGAAGAAATGTGAGCTCTGCCATTATTGAATTTCATACCTTCTCCTAACTCTCCCATTTTGTGCAGAAAATGAATCTATGTGCACTTCAAAGCTGAGGTCATGAAGCCACCTCAGCTGTTTTTATTTCCCCCACAGTTCTGGAAACAATTTCCATACACCAAGTTTTATAAAATTCCTCCTACTCTTAGCCAGGGTTATTTTATGTATATTTGTTGCTTATAATCCTTTTCTAGGAATATAGACAAAATAGTAAAAAAAAAAAAGCAACCCTTGTGATATATTAATTAAGTCAGTTGTTTTTCTTAATATTCTCTTATGTCTTTTTTTCTTAAACAGTGCTACCATACTGTAATACACAACATGAGAATGACTCCTATGGACCTATTGGTATTATCTGTTTACTAATTTTGTGGTTTTTAAAACCAGGAGCAATGAAGCTCCTGTGTGCTGGGCTCTCTCAAATTTAAATGTCAAACAAAATAAATTTGAAATATATCCAGTCAATCACTTGTTGCTTGTACTAAGCAATATTAAAAATGCTTTACCTTTGTATAAATTGTCTCAAAGCTTTGATTTAGTCATGAAACGATTGTGTGTTATTAGTAGGGCAGCTAGTACACATTTCTCCAGGACATGAAGAGCTGATACCTGGAGAGCTTGATGAGGCAGAGGCAATTGTTTCATGTGAGGCTGAGCCAGGACTCCAGTAATTTACTGCACACACATTTGTCTGTGTAGCAGAGATACTTTTAATGTATCTTTGAAGTGAAGGAAGGGAAGTGGATTGCTCTTTAAGGGCAGTTCATAGAACCAAAGGTACAGAGTCAGGAATAGTGGTTTTAGAAGCAGACAGTGTGGGCCTTTTCTTCCTTTATTTGGTTTCATGGCCTCTGACAAAATTTTTAATGTCTGCAAGCTTTTGTTTGCTCAGCTATAAGATGGAGATAATAATATCTACTTTTTGGGTTACTTGTGAAGCATGAATGAGACACCTAGGAATTTAGTGTAGTATCAGGTTCATGGTAAGTATTTTGTTATAGTAGTGGTTGAAGTACCCCAGTAAGTACAGTGGTAGAAGCACTCTCAAATATTACCTCACTGAAGATGTCTTAGTGAAGATGTTGTGGAGCATAGATTTTCAAAAACTTTATAACTTTTGAAACATGAATAATTGAAAATCATTTTCAGGCTATTTTTTTACCTTTAAAATTTTAGCACCTTTACTAAAAATCTAACATGAAAAGGAGTGGTTTTCAAAAATAATTCTGTCATATTACAATTCTAATTGAATGTGATCGTACATTTCAGAGAATGAAACAGAGTGAGTTTCAACTGAGACTTTCATGAAACAACTTTCTCTATGAAGAAAATGGTGATAGTCAGCTTAGCTTAAGCCCACTCAGACAGTGAGAGTTCCATTTCGTCTCACTCTTGCTTTATGTGAAATGGGGCTTTGCTGAGCAGAGAGGCTGAGATCCACACTCGTTCTGACTGCATCTGCACGGTCTCTCTCTTCCCTCTAGATCCTGGCACTTGTCGCTGTCAGAAAAGGAATGGATTACCTCTTCTCTCAACATGACCTCAGCTTCCTCGATGATGTCATTCCAGAGAAGGACAAGAAAAAGAAGGAGGATGAGAAGAAAAAGAAGAAGAAGAAGGGAAGTTTGGACAGCGACAATGATGATGTAAGGAACTTTCCAGACTTCTCAAGTAAAGCTAAAGAAACAAATGTGAAAAATGTACTTTTTTTTTTAACCTGATGAGAAATGGAGAACTGAATTCCAAGATCACTTGTCTGGTCTTGTGACCCATCACTCATTTCTCCTCCATTTGTCCTTTATTCTTTTTTTTTCTACACTGAGTAATTTCTGTAACCATTGATATACTAGAAGTGACTTCTAACAAAAATTATCACATTTGCACAGCTTCAGCCTCATAGATAGGAAGTTTGCTTAGTTATGCTAGAAAATGTATTTGTTTTGTTATTATCAATCAGTAACAGGTACTTGAGATAATAACTTATTTTGTATAATTTTGAAACTAACATGGACAAATGCCAGTGATTCACCTCCCATAATCTATAGGTCTGTTTGAGAAAGCAATAAAAAAAATTATACTATTATGTTATACTGAGCTCTGTATTTATAGTAAAGTGATTTGTCCTTACCTTTCTGCAACTCTGCAAAAAGCAGTAAAGGGAATTGGAGTTTGGGATCTTTTTACCAAATTAAGTAGTATCATCATCCAGATGGTCCTCCTGCAGTCAGGTGATTAAGTTAGGTAATGAAATTATTACCCTTTAATTTTTCTTTAGGAGAACATTAATAGAAATGCAGATGCTCCAGTAGGGACTTGTAATCAATGCAAAGAGAAAATCTGAGATGTATTTTCCTTAATACACGCACACACACATAAGTGCATGCACACGCATACACACGCACACACAAACACATACACACATACAGTTTGAAAGGATTACCAGAATGATACTTTACATATGAAAATGTATTCTAGATTTTACACAGTGTAGTATGAAAAATGATTTTTGTGTTTTATTACCCATTTTAAAGTAGGAATATGGTTAATTTTTAGCATCTGCCCTGTGATTGATAACTTTGCGCATGTATAGCTAATTTATCCTTGGTTATCTATCCTAAACACTCTTTATTTATTTTTCCCACATTACAAGTGAATAGATTTAGATTTAAATTTTCAAAAACTTAAAACTTTTTCCAGCTCTACTGAGGTCTAAGTGACAAATAAAATTTTATATATTTAAAGTGTACACAGTGGTGCCTTGATATACGTTTGTCATTTTTCTGGATGCACATAGCCATAAGCTGCTGAGCCAAAACTGGAATCCAAGGCTATGTGCTTATTTCCAGTTGATCATGCTGATTGTATTCTTTCTGTAGGACTTGGAAATAGTACAGTGAAGGAAGGCAACAGAGACTTGGGTTTCAGATAAATTGATTCAGTAAGAAAGAGGTAAATATATGAGGCACATTTAGCTAAGGAGAAAAGCATTTGAGGGATCTTTTATGACTCACCATCCATTCTCAGCAAGAGCAGGTACATAGAGTTTCTGTATCAATGATGACAAAGAAAGAGGGAATGTATTTAAACTGCAGCAGAGATTAATATGTAGCATTAAGAAAAATGATGTGCTTAACACATTGAATGGAAAGCAAAATTTGAAATTAATTTCTGGGCCATTCAAGACAAAGAAGGTTTGCTTGAAATAGTAACATGATTAAAGCAGTATTTCATCTTTAATTTTCAAAATGGGTACCTCGGTGTGTCCATGGACATCAAATTTAAAACTTAATACATATTGCAAATATATGGAATAATATTATGGGATCTTCTGTAATATTTTTTAAGAAAAAATAACCCTGGGGAATGTTTTAAATTTAATACTCTTTAGTGACAAAAGTTGGATCAAATAAGTACCTAAATATGGTCTTACAGTTCTTAGGTATGATTGCCAACAAATCATATTTAAACAGTGCTCTTGTTTTGTTAACGTTTACCATTTTCAGCTCCATATTTCCAACAGTTTTCTTGATGATGGCGTGCAATACTTGTTTCCTTTCCTCTTCCTCTTCTCCACCCCATCCTACCAAAACCAAACAAACAAACATGGACATTTGTTCCTAGACAATGAAGCCAAACAGGCAATCTAGAGAACATCTGTACACTGAGTCCCATGTATTGGACCAGTATTTGAGGGCTCTACATCTGGAGGGTGACTCTCTCAGTGTTCACTTGTTAGTCATGTGGTGTGGGGCCCACAGACACAAGGAGCCACACTAGAAAATCAAGGTTACAGCTCCGGAGCAGAAGTAGTGAAGAATGCAACTTGCCGCTTATAGTTAGTTTTGAGCCTTTCTAGGAGGCAGTGATTAAGAGTTGGTAGCTAACTTGTCCATCTATAAGTGCTACTATTTTGGGAGTTGTTTTGGAATAAGAGTTATTGACCTTATCATTGTCATAAAAAGCATGTGGCATCTTAATAATTTCTTCTTCTCTGGTGGCTAAAGTGCATTATTTTAGTTCTCTAAAAGAATATTATTGCTCATTGTCTGTTTTAGATTGATTATAAAGAAATTTTCAATATAGGTAGTCAGCTTTATGTTAAAATCTTTTTTTATCCCTACTTTTTTTGAAAGTTGAAAGAAAAATTTCAACTCAAGGTTATCTCCTTGGTATTTTCAGTTAGGAGATGAATTGCTCTTTTTCAGTCCAGACTTGGGTTCAATACAATGAATTTTATGAATTAAAGTGATGATTCTGTGGAAATCTGACAGTTTGGGTCAGGCGGCCTGTCTTTTAAGTGCACCATGATGAGCTGCCGAGTTTTAGCATTTGATCCTGGTAATGATTCTCTGTTTATCTCACCATCATCGACAGACATTTCCTTTTGGTTTCATTTTCTTTTATTTTGTTTATGTTTTCAAATATCTTTGATAAATGAAAATTGAAATGAACTTTAAATCATAAAATTATATCTGATAGAGTATAAAATAAGGGAAAGAGATTTTTTGGGGGTGTTCCTTGATAATGGATGTTAAAAACTTCTCCTGTTTGTTTTGAAAGGAAATAAGGGCCATGATTTTCTTGGAGATAGAATCAGAGAATGTAAGAAAACAAGATTTTTAGGATCATATTACAGTTTAGGAAGTTTCCTAGATTTAATCTATTTCCACAAAGAGATTATTTGCTTTACTGGTACAACAATCCATGTTTACTGATTGGGAATCCAACTTGTAGAAAGTTTTCCAATTTAGTTGTAGTAATAGCCATTTGGTGTGGCTCTAGTTTCAGTGGTCTCAACCCCATTAACCCAGAAGAGAGGAGGACAAATATGAATGAGAAAGATGTAAAAGTTGAAAAGTCGATATACTGGAAACTACTATATCTATGGCTTTTCTCCTTACTATGTGAATGATAGTGATGTAGTAGATTTGATCACTACTAGGAAGTAGAAAAGACTGAATAATAAAATAAAACATTCTAAAAAAACTTGTACTTTTTTTCACAGTCTGACTGCCCATATTCAGAAAAGGTTCCCAGTATTAAAATCCCAATGGACATCATGGAACAGCAACCTTTCCTAAGTGATAGCAAACCTTCTGACAGTGAGTAGAACTAACCTCTTGCGTGCTTGCTCAATATGATTTGCACTTGTAGAGAAAATACTTTAGAGCCATCATCTACATTAACTTTCCCTCTATTTTATCATTTTTCATATATGAAGATTTATACTTCATTCTTATCAAATTTTATTTTTATATTCCCTACACTTTACTCTTAACTTCTTTTTATCCTTATATAACCTTTACAATTTTTGTTTGGCAGTCTTTTCTCTTCCCCAAGTCATCACCAGGTTTTTTAAATTGCTAAACCTGTAACCATGTTTTTAACTGCTTTCTTTCTCCCCCGCTGGTATTTAGAATGACAGCTTATAGTACTACATCACTGTCTGTTACTGTTTGTCTTCCTTAGGTCTCAGTCAATGACCAGATCAGCTAAAAACACAAATTGCATCATGGCTGTCCCAGTGATCAGAGAAACAATGATCAATATTCAGAATTTAGTGATAGTTACTTTCGATTTAAATTGGCAATCTAAAATGTTAGCACAGCTCTATCAATGTAACTCATATATGCTTTTTCTTCCTAATTTCTTCATTTCTCGTCTGGTGTTTCAAAGTCATTATAGTAATGCAGTAGTCTTTCTGGGGACATAGCCTGGTCGCTGCCATATAGTGGTTTGTGTCATGTCATCTTTTCTTTTATTATTGAGTTAAAAGGCCCCTCCATTTGTAGCATTATTTGACATCTTGAGCTTTTCCAATAGCAAGTAGCAGTTGCCTCCAAACTGCCTTTCACTTTGAATTCTCATTTGAGGAAAATGTATTCTTTTAGATACAGGTGCACTCCAAAGCATATTGAGCTGTTATAGGAAGAAAGATACTGAAATTCTTTTATTTTTGTTTGACAGTGTCATTTCAATTTCAACAGGAAGTTAGTATTACCAAGAAAAGTTTGAAATAAATGACTATTGACATCCTATATTAGTTTTCAATCACTGAATCACAAATCATCACAAAAGACAACATCTTAAAATACCAAACATATGTTTTCTCATGTGGTTCCTGACATCAGAAGTTTAGGAGCAGTCCATTTTATGAGTTGGGCTCAGATCTCTTGTAAGATTGCACATCAGGCTATCATCTTGGATGTTCCAAGCCTGCTCATAAGACTGTGGCAGCAGTTTTGGCTCCTTGTCCTGCGGGCCTGTCTGCAGTGCTGCCTAGAATTTGGGGTCCCCAGAGCCAGGGACGAGTGAGACAGAAGCCAAGCTAAAAGCTGCAGTCTGCTACAGTTGTATCTCAGAAGTGACAGACTATACTTCTGCCATGATCTATTGGCTGTTCAGACTAACACTGATGAAATGTGGGGAGGAATCACATAGGAACATAAATACCTGGAGATGGGGGTTTGGGGAAGGCTTTTAGGGACTGGCCACCATCCTGGGTTTAAAGAGCTAAAGCAGCCTTACCTTTGTCATCTGACTTGTGACTGAGCTGGGCTTTCTGCCCACTCTCATCAGTGAGATTGAGTTAGAAATTTCTTTTTGAATTGAATCTCCCAAACCATGTTTTGATTTCATTCTTCATCTCTGGAAAATTAATGGCAAAACGAGACTGTGAGGTAGTACATCTGTGTCTTCTGTTGGTTTTATAACCTGGTGTAGTTCCTTCTAAGGACAATGTAAGGGCTGTTTGTTTTTTAAATTCACCAGCCAGAATTTAAAGCTTGTGGTAAGAGTTTATGTGCCAGTTTTCTTTATCCTCTCAAAAGCCCTGTAAAACTATAAACTGAAAGTTGATGTATTAGAAGTTTACGTAAGCAAAGTACGCATGATCATTTTGACTGAAATCTTTTCAAATGTCATGACAATCTTTATAATCCATAAAAGAACAAAATTGATCCAAGCAGAGTTGCAGTGAAAAAACTTCAAAAATCCTTTTTTTACCTTGAATAATAGCCAGACAAAATTGTGAATGTTGAAGATGGCAGGGAATTCAAGAGCAAGTATCAGACAGTGAGAAGATGCTCTCACCTATAGAAATAGCCCCCTCTTGGTCTTCTCACTGGAGACAGTACTGGACCATTCCAGGGAAACTTAAAGTACAGGAAATGAAGTGGTTCAGACTGCATGCCACTGCTGACCCTTAGCTTGATATGGTATTTATTTAAATTGTCTATCTTGTCTTTTTTACTCTTTTCAGTTGTGAAAGATGAATCAATTTTTATGAAGATTTTCATTTCCACTCCAATTTTATACTTTACTTACTAATTTTGATTTAAATATTTTTTTTCTCTCCAGGAGAAAGATCATCAACATTCCTTGAACGCCACACATCATGCTGATAAAATTCCTTTCCTTCAGTCACTTGGTTTGCCAAGGTAAAGGAGAGCCCAGTACTTTGCCCTGTTCTGTGGGATGATTTACCCACAGAAATGTGGTCAGTGGGGGGGCTTCTGGCAAGACTGTCTGTTCTCGTTTCTCTCTATGATTTGTCTTAAATAAATTGCCCAAAGGCCAAATTTGCCCCAGCTTTCACTATAAAAAAATCATTCTCAAAGACCTACTTACTTTGGAAGTGATGGCCTCTTTCAGTCATTAAGTTAAAGCCCAGGGTGGACCTTGCACTGGTCACTTCTGCATCAGCATGATTTAAGGGAAACCAGCATTTCTGGCCAGTCTCACTCTCTAATTTCCTTCCCTCTTACAAGACCCTGGAGGGAACAGATGGGACTTGATTCTCAAAACATTGGAATCTCTGAATATTTTCACTATGTGTCTTGTTGTCCTTTAATTTCAGACAATATTATCCTCTTGTCTTTTGGGGAGGTTTTTGGTTGTTATTATTTTTTAGAATCTAGTATGGAATCTTATGAGATATCTACCTGAATTTCTTGACCCTATTATCGGTACCTTTATAACATTTAAAATATCTTGGCTTTATGGATATGGAGTGAATAACTACTACAAGAGAATAAATATTGGTACATTCGAATTTTGTACAATGTGTAAACATTTGATAAAGAAAATCAGATTTACTTACTGTTTCCTTTCATTTTCTTTTTTCTCTCTAGTCCTCCTAGAATTCCAGTAAAAGTTGTGCCTCAAATTAGAATAGAACTTGAGCCTGAAGACAATGATTATTTCTGGAAGAGCAAGGGAACAGAAACTACATTATAACCTGTTTGTCTTTCTTACAATTGACAGTTTTATTGTTAACATTCTTTTTTTTTGGCCTGGCCATTTATTTTTAAATTTTTGTTCTGTTTCAGTTTTTGGTCACTGGCTAAATAATACAGCTCTCTCTGCTTCTCTCTCGCATAGGTGATAGCAAGACAGTGGTGTACTATTCCTTTAAAAAGCATCTGCAGCATCTCCCTTTTGTTCTTACACTTTCTGCACTTTCAGATGTGTCCTCTGACAACCCAGTTTCCCTGTCACTCAAGAAGCGCACAGGCCCTTGTCCTTTCCTTTTATTAAGCAGAGATCAGAAGTATTAAAGATTTTATAAAACCTTTTACTGAAATACTGAAGGAAGTTAAAACTTCAGTTTTGGAGCTGTGCTTACTGGCTTGTTTTTGTCTGGTAGAACAAACCCTAACCCCAGACAGAGTCCCTTCTCCCCCTTATAGAGCTGCCCAGGACTGGAAAAAGTGCTGCTATTCTAACTTGCTCTTGCTTATGAGCCCTAATCATAGTGTTATCAAAAGAAGAAAAACTAAAGGTACTTTACTCCCTGTAGAGAAACCATTGCCGCCATTGTAGCAAGTGCTGGAATGTCCCTTTTTCCTATGCAACTTTTTTTAACCCTTTAATGAACTTATCTGTTGAGTACATTGAAGAATATTTTTCTTCCTAGATTTTGTTGTTTAAATTATGGGGCCTAACCTGCAACTTATTTTTTTGTCACTTTTTTAAACTTTTTTTTAATTACTGTAAAGAAAATGAATTTTTCCTGCAGCAGGAAACATAGTTTTGAGTAGTTCTACCTCTTATTTGTAGCTGCCAGGCTTTCTGTAAAAATTATATTGTATATAATGTGATTTTTACATACATACACACACACACACACACACACAAATAGACAATCTCTAGGGTAAACCAGAAGGCTAAATCAGATTTTAAAAACACCATGTGTCTAAGCATCCATTTTATCCCATTCTTTAAAAGAAATTTAACTATTTTATGAAGAAACTTGAGGGAGAAGAGAGAAATTCTTGCATAAGGGAGTAAATGCTGTTCTGGTAGTGGTAGTATCTGGACACAGATGCTTATTGTATTACCATGTTACTGTCCTATGCAGTATTGTTAGGTATTTTTTCATTTTGAAATATCTGTGTGTTTGTGTATGTGCTCTGTGTGTGGCTGGTGCACATCTGTGCAAAGTTATAAAAAGAGCGACAGTAAACAAAGGGCAAAGTTATTAATCCCTGTGTGTCAGTTTTCATAAAATCCAAACCACACATTAAAATTTTATCAGGGGTTCAATAAATGTGTCACCATGCAAATGAAGGTAAATAATATTTATTACTCAGCTAGCGGTCATCACTGCTACAGTAACTCATACTCACAAAAGAAAATCCACAGGAAGATTGACAGCACATTTACACATCTAGTGGGTGTTATGGGAATACAGATAGAAAAGTAGAAGTGGATACACTTTAACAATACTTTCACACAATTCTTTGTAATCAGAACTTTTAAAGTATGTATGTATTCATATATGTGTATCTGTTTCAGAGTACCATACTGAAAATTGGACCTTATTAACCAAATTGAGCATGATATTTAGATAGAATGTTCTTAATGAGCTACATAATATATTGAATGTCTATTAAGAGCAACATTTTAAATGTTGAATCACAATTTTGGATTCATATAACCACAACTGTGATGAGTCTAAGTATAACAGGTTGTTGAAGGACTATTAGAAGCAGGTGGAATCACTCATTTTGGTGTACTTATTGACTCCACTCATTCTTACATTAATTAAATTGTAATTCTGCCCTCTTGAAATTAATTATAAAAGTTTTGTTATCCTAAGATAACTATTACTTTTGTAATATCTCAAAACTTTTAATTTTATAAAAATTAGACATAAATGACCTCAAATTGTAAATTAAAACAACAAATTACACATGCCAAAACCTCACTTGCCAAATTTTGGCATCATGTTTGTATACAGATCTACTCTTAAAATGATTATTCTGTATTATTTAGTTATATTTTATCCTTAAAAAGCTATATGAGAAAGCACCTCTTTCTCTTTCTGATTGAAGCATCAACAGAATGTCTAATAATCGTGCATAGTAAATTTAGTCTAATCAAGATGTTGTTAAGTTGAAGGAACTTTTGATATTTTTTATAAAAGCTCTAGATATAATATTTGCTATTCTGATCACAAATCAAGTATTTTTGGATTTATATTCCTTTCCATACTAGTCAAAGAACTGCTGAAGTAACTTAGTCCATAATTTCAACCTTTGAGTAGACTGGAAGCTATGTATTCCCACTGTGACCCACACTGTGTCACTTTGGGATGAAGGTTGGTGTCTGTGTTGTAAAAATAAAATAGTACCTTATGTTTGCAACAGCAAACCCTTTCAACACTGTGGAACTAAGGAAGTAATTTTTTAAAAGATCATTACCTTTAGAGGAACAAAGGCAGTTACCACACTAACAAGCAAAACCAAGGTACATGTGGAGCCAGCCACTAGATTACCTGTGTTCTAACCAAATTTACTGATTGGATAAGAACTAACCAGATTTGGGGATGGTTTTGTTTCTATGTAAACTGAACACAAATACAACAGTAATTTTTTTTACAACATACTTCTCTATTTTCACTCTAATGTGCACTTGGAGACATATGATTCACGTTTCCTGAGGTAAAGACTAAGTGCACTCAGAGCTGTTAACCAGGATTCTTGGGGTTGTAGGAACTGACTGGTGGAAGAAAAGAAAGGACTAGGCTGAGTCTACCTATGAAAAGAGCATTGCTTCCTCTGCTTTTGGATTTGAGAGATAATCTGTGGGAGATACTGTTTTCCTTGAGAAAGTCACTTTTCTCTGCTGTGTGTAACAACTACTTGAAATCCTAATTATTCCATATCCCATGGGCAGTATTGTTCCTGCCTCTTTTTCCAGGGAGGTTGAGGAGGGGTTGAGAGGAGCCTTACTGACTTGAGAATCAGGAATGAAAACCTCAGTCCTCACCCACTCAAGAATAGGGGAAAAATTATCTGCTGTCAGTAATCCAATTTTTGTGAATTTTATGGACATGCAGCAACACACTCAGAGTGACTCTTTTATCAGCTCAATTTTGGTGTTTAATATTGGAGAATGATTGTCTTCCGAGTTTTTAGTTCTTTTAACTGTGTTAACGTACTTGAAATGTATTGACTGCTGACTATATGTCAAAAATGAAATATTTGAGTTGTATTACAGAGGTTGACATTGTTCAGGGATGGGACAAAGTGTTCTTCAGTCTTTTTCATACCACTGACATGATTTTGGTGCAGGAACCTGAGATTTTCTTATTTATGTTCCATGATAGCTTGCATCTGCTCTCACAGCATAAGCTGGGAGTCCAGTGGCACCCAGTGGCACCAAGTGGCTGAACACAATCAAATGATGACAGCACTTCTTTGTCTGAGAGTCATGGGGATGTTCAGATGGTGACTTCACTGAGCATCTTTGCAGCCTGATATCTTAAAAAAAAAAAACCCTTGTAATATATGCTAATCAATCAAGTTGTGTTGTGACCAGAGATTTGGATATATCTTATTTCTTGGCTCATTTATTTGTGGTCTATGGTTATACACAAAAATTCGGAATTTTGTTTCCTAGGTAAATATTGCAACTCAGGGCTAAAAAATCACCCAGTGAACTTTTAGAGCCAGAAGTAACTTTGTCCCAATCCTACAATGTGAAAAGAATGAACAGCTGCCTCTTTTAGCCATTTTCCTGGCTGGTACATAACCGTACACAGTACACATTACTTTTCAGAATCAATACGCACTTTCAGATATTCTTATTTTTATTCTCTTAAGTCTTTATTAACTTTGGAGAAGTGATGCATCTTTTTATTTTAAATGAAGTAGATCAACATGGTGGAACTAAATGACAAAACAGAAAACATTTCAATATATTACTAATAATTTTTCCAACATAAAACCTAAAATTCCTATAACATAGTATTTTACAGTTTTATGAAGCTTTCTATTGTGACTTTTATGGAATTAAGAGATGAAGAAGATGAGATATTTTAGCATTTATATTTTTCAAAATTAAATGTATACTTAAAATAAAGTAACTTTATGCATTTATGAGTGTCAGGTGCTTCTGTTCCACTCTTTGCCTCACTGTTAAATGCTTCTTATTCTGTTCCTCTGGGAGCTGCAGGGATCAATTTACTGATGAGTAAGTCAGTGCCCCTGTGCCCAGTTCACCCTAATCTTTCCAGGCAGGAAGATGAAGGAAGTGGCCAGATTACATAAGAGATTATTAAGAATTATCTGTTTAAGAAATTTTAATGACATTATCTCATATAAGCTTTCAAAGTAAGAAAAAATGTACTTAACTAGAAATAATGGGAATAGTTTTATGAAGAAGAAATATTGTCATACTTTTTGTAAAATTTGTGAAATACAAAATACCACTTTCTTCCATCTAGGATGATGCATGTACTCAATTCTCAAAGTGAATAAAATTGTGAATAGGCACAAGCACACAAAAATTGCTCAAATGAGCAAAATCTCAGAATGATGTTCCATCCAGAAATAATTTGCAGAAGACTCATCTGTTATCTAAAATTTTCTAGGAAACTTATTCCTAAATTGTAATCAGACAGTGGTACTGGTGGTGAGTGGAGCAACAGAGGGGATGAGAAATAAGTATTGGTGGTAGTGAAAAGTTAGATTGGAAAAACAAAAGCCAGGAACATTAGCTAAAACAGTCTTTTTACCTGGAAACTTAATATATAGGCAATAGCCCTGAGTATCTGGGTATCAATGGTAGTGGTGATGATGGATTTGGATTTTATCACTGAGCTGGAAGAAGCAGCAAAAGCCACATTCAGAATAGATCATACTATGGGAAAGTTTGATAAATTCTTCAACATATCACAGAGAACTCATCAAATATTACCATGAATGACAATAACTTGAGTCAAGAAATTAGGATCAAATTATATTTAGTATAATATTGCCAACCTAAGGTCAGAGAGAGGTCCCCCAAAGAATAATGATATTTATTTGGGGATAATAAAGTATTGCAATGGGAACATGTGTATCATAGTAAAGTGAATGCCTTCAAAGTTGAGAAAAGGGGAAGTTTTTAAAGGTGAAAATAGGGAGAATTACACACAATATTTTAAACAATAATTCTTTCCCTCAAGATTTGATAACAAGGTAACACCTGTTGGAATTTGAATAGGCAGTTGCTGAACAGATGTTCTTCAAGAAGCATTGTTTTGAATAAGGGAGCAGCAGCTTTTGTGCAAGGTTGTAGTTCTGGCAGAGTGTCTTAGTTACTTTATCTCACTGCTGAGACGAAATACTTGACATCCAGAGTTAAAGGAGGAAAGGTTTATTTCAGCTCACAGTTTGTATAGGTTTCACTCCAGCTCCAAGGCAGGGCAACATGACAGAAGGGCCTCACAGGGGAGAAACAGTTCATGGTGTGGCAGGCAGGAGTCAGTAAAGCATCAAGCAGCAGCCTGCCTTCCTTCTCTGCCTTTATATTCCATCCAGGCTACAAGCCTATTGATTGGTGCCACCCACCCCCAGGGTGGGCCTTCCCACTATCCACATCCAGAGTTAGGTATGCTAAACCCATTTAGTTATCACACACCCTACATCTAGCCACCTCTGAAAAGCTCCACCTATGAGCACATGAGGCTTTGGCAGGGCATTTAGACATAAGTCATTACACAGAGTCATTTGTGGTAGTTACTATAAGGTGATGTGAGTATTGATTTATTTACTTATTTGTCAGGGTTAACATGACTTTTCTGAGAGCTTTCATATTATGAAAAAATACATACTTTTGCATTTCTGCAATTCTTCATTATGCTATCTGGTTTTCCTGATCAACCTGAAAACTAGAAAGAGAAACCCAGAACACCCTGAGCTACCAAACCATTCGTCTCAATGTTTGGGCAGGCCAGTTTAAGCACCTTGGGTCTGTGTGAAGAGCTCAGCTTCTCATTCAGAATCCACTTATGCTTATTAAAAAATCAACACAATTGGTTATTTGTGGATTTCTTAGAATACAGGAAGTAAGAAATGAGAGAGAAAACTATACAAAAGTAAGCTATCAAGAATAAATAGGTTAGGGGCTGGAGATTTAGCTCAGTGGCACCATGGCTGCCTTGCAAGCACAAGGACCTGAGTTTGATCCCCGGTACTGAAAATAAATAAATAAAACAAAAAATAATTTTTAAAAAAGTTAATAGGTTAGCCCTGGCAGAAGAGAGAAGATTTTTAAAACTCTATAAATACAGTCAAGAACTTAAGAGCCAGTTTATTTAATACAGAGGCAAGGATGCTATAACAGGTCTTAAAGGAAAATATTGATTTTAATTTTGATTAAAAGATTAAACTGATTAAATGTCTTTAAGATAAAATGTATTTTAATTAATGCTCAAAATAATGATTTGGAACTGGAACAAACATTAAACTCTTTTCTACTCTTGTTCATTTAAAAGTCCCCACAGCTAAGACTTTTAAGAACAGAAAGATCCCTAAAATCTTCCCCTAATACTCTATTCAACCAACATCACTGCAGAAAACTCCTTCAGGTCAGACTACTGAGGCACCTCTGATCATTGCTAATGGTAATCATAACCATGCCCACACAGAACCAGAACCACCGTACCCTCCCTAACTGACACCCTTAGATCATTTGCAGCATAGTCTTCATCTACAAAAGCCACTCTGTGAAGTTTGGGAAAAGTGACTACACTACAAGATGCACAGACATCAATGCAGAGATAGGGAAAAAATGAAGAAGCAAGGTAACAATGTCACTACAATGTCACTACATGATTACAAGAATTCTCCAGTGACTAACCCCACAGAGTTTGTGGAAATTTATGAATTTTTAAATATGAGTTCAAGATAATCTTAAGAAATATCAGTGAGATAGCAGAGAATATAAAGTGACAAATCAGGACCTACTTCTCTGGCCTACGAACCGCTAGTGCTATGGTTGCTGTGAGCCCTGACCCGCGGCTCGTGGGCTTCATGGGTGCGGGCCGAATGGCAGAGGCCATAGCGCAGGGCCTCATCCGAGCAGGCAAAGTGGAAGCTCAGCACGTGCTGGCCAGTGCACCAACAGACAGGAACCTCTGCCACTTCCGGGCTCTGGGCTGCCAGACTACCCACTCCAACCAGGAGGTGCTGCAGAGGTGTTCGCTGGTCATCTTTGCCACCAAGCCTCAAGTCCTGCCTGCTGTCCTGGAGGAGGTGGCCCCCATGGTCACTGCTGAACACATCTTGGTATCTGTAGCTGCTGGAGTCTCTCTCAGCACCCTAGAGGAGCTACTGCCCCCCAAAACACGAGTGCTCTGGGTATCACCCAACCTGCCCTGTGTAGTCCAGGGAGGGGCCATGGTGATGGCAAGGGGCCTCCATGCTGGGAGCTATAGGGAACAGGGAAAGGGTACATTACTTGAACCTCTACAGTTAAGTCCTAGTCTCCTGTGAGCCATGGCAGTACACGGTGAATTACAGGAAAGGTAGAAAAATGAGACTGAGAAGAAGCTGAGCTTTGGGTTTGATCGGTGCTGCTCTGGGCGGCAAAGACAAAAGCCCCCAGTTTACTGCACCTTTTATTCCATACTCAGTACATCGGGAGAAACAAATGTAACAAATGACTTGCAGAGAGTTCAGTACATACATCGGGAGAAACAAATGTAACAAATGACTTGCAGAGAGTTCAGTACATCCTGCATAAATAAGATGTAACAATCCAAGAACAAGGAGGAACTGAGTAGAAGTTTTTTCTTCCCAGGATGTTCTCAGCTCCCAGGATGTTTCTTGTCCTGGAGAATCACAGCATCACTGGATCATTGAGGTCTCCGTTGTGACCGGAGGCCAAAATGGAATTATGTCTCAGAATTCCATATCTGGGCTGTAGGCAGGAGAACTAGGCTAACCAAATGATTTTACCCTAAAGTTATGTAGCATTGCTCCCGACAGGGAACAGTGAGGCCAAACTCCTGCAGAACTTGCTGGAGGCCTGTGGGCTTATGAGGAGGAGCCTGAGGCCTACTTGGACATCCACACTGCCCTGAGTGACAGTGGCGTGGCCTTTGTGTGCACATTCTCTGAGGCCCTGGCTGAAGGTGCCATCAAGATGGGCATGCCCAGTAGCCTGGCCCACCGCATTGCTGCCCAGACCCTGCTGGGAACAGCCAAGATGCTGCAGTGGGAGGGGCAGCACCCAGCTCAGCTGCGAACAGACGTACTCACACTGGCCCGCACCACTGCCTATGGTCTCCATGCCCTGGAGCAGGGTGGGCTGCGAGCAGCTGCCATGAGTGCTGTGGAGGCTGCTACTTACTGGGCCAAGGAGCTCAGCAAGAAGTAGGGCCCAGCCTCCAGAGGAGGCCACCTGCTTCTTGCCCAGCCAAAACCCACAAGTGCAGAGTATAGCCCTATGTAGTCCCCTACTCCTCCCTTTGCCCCTTCCCTAAGGACCAGCTCTGTGTCCATCCCAAATGAATGTCTTCTCTCCTCTTACACAGGAAAATGCAGCCCCACCTATGCAGTCCTCTTCCCATCATTGTGGTTTAATACCTAAAGAGCCCACTGTAATGGGTGATGTTGATTATCAGGTGCCTGAAATTTGGGGCCACTTTGAGGTCATGAGCAGAGCTGCTGGCCACAAAAGCAACTGAACCTGGTTTGGAGCCTGAGTCTTTCCTTGGATTTTACAGCAGCTCCCTGGACTCTAGCCAGGGTAGCTCTCATTCCAGCTCCCTCCACAAAGCCAGTGGCCTTGGCCTGGCCCCCACAGGGAGCTGAAGCACCCTCCCAGCCCCTGAGCAGCAAGCAGGTAGAGTGTTCTTCTCATGTCTGAGGAGGCTGCATTCTGGAAGCTACAGCTGTGCCAGCCAGGTCTGCTGCAGCACTAGGACAGCATTAGGTGGGCAGAGGCCAGGTGGAAGAGCTGCTTGAGGTTTGGGGGGCAGGCCCCAGTCAGCTGGAAGACTATAACCCTGCCTCCAGCTCAATTTAGGCCCCCTTCCTCCTTCAGATCCTAAGCTCCTGGCACATGGTCAGGTAGAGCTGGGCCCTAATGACCCTCCTCTGGGTCAG